GGATGGATGGATGGATGGATGGATGGAGGGATGGATGGAGGGATGGATGGATGGATGGAGGAATGGATGGAGGGATGGATGGATGGATGGATGGAGGGATGGATGGATGGATGGATGGATGGATGGATGGATGGATGGAGGGAGGGATGGATGGATGGATGGAGGGATGGAGGGATGGAGGAATGGATGGATGAATGGAGGGATGGATGGATGGATGGATGGATGGATGGATGGATGGATGGATGGAGGGATGGAGGGATGGAGGAATGGATGGATGAATGGAGGGATGGATGGATGGATGGATGGATGGATGGATGGATGGATGGATGTGCTGCATAAAGGCGGTCTCTGCAGTTGGTGTGGGGTCAAACATTCCCCTTTTCCAATGGGGAAACTGAGGCATGGCACAGCAGTGTTGGTTGTTTGCCACATGGAGGGTTGGGGGCGCCCAGAGGTTCTGTGGTGTGCGGGTGATGCTCAGTTGGCCCTGAGGAGCAGCAGGGGGTCCCACCTTTGTGCTGGTGCCTCACTGGACCACGGTGGCGGTGCTCTGGATGTTCTCCTCACCCTGAGTTCACAGAGCTCCTGTGATCAAAGCTTTCACGTCAGGGCGGGCTGGCAGTAATCCTGTACCTGTCAGCATGAATGAAAGGTGACGACGCTGTGAGGGCTGCAGGGAAACCAGATGGGCCACCTGGGGCTCCTTGTGCCCGGCATCACTGAGCTGCTGCTGGGGATGGAGGGGGGGGATGGATGGAGGGATGGGTGGGTGGAGGGATGGAGGGATGGATGGACTTGGGGATGGAAGGAAGGACGGAGGAGGGATGAAAGGATGGAGGGATAGATGGGTAGGTGGAGGGATGGGCTGACAGGTGGAAAGAGGATAACTGAGATCTGAGAAGGAGGCGGCTGAGTCTCCAGCAGTGTTTATGCTTTTCTGCCAGCAGAGGTTGCTTCTGGCCCCCAGTTGTTTGTGCCAGGTTGGACACCCTTGGCTGCGGAGAAGCGCATCTCCCGGTGCCAGGACTGCACTTAAGCTCAGGAGATCTCAGTCGTGTGAATCAAACACTGCTTCTGTCCTTCTCCAGGGGTTCTGTGCAGAGCTCTGGAAGCCAAGTCATGCCTTCCTGTGAGTCCGTGCTGCAAACCAAACCAAAGCCAGAGGTGCTGGAAGGGACACGGAGCCGAGAAGCCACCACCAGTGGGGCCAACCCAGCAACATCCCCTCCAGATGGGGCCGAGGGCTGCGCTGGGTGGTGGAAGGATGGCTGGGAGTCTGGGGATTGGGCAGAGCTGCTGTCTGCAGGGTTTCTTCCCACCTCCTGCCATCAGTGCCTCATCTCCGGCCTCGCTGCTCCCCGCTCCGCATCCCTGCTGTGACCCCCCTGCCCGACCCGTGCAGTGAAAGGTTTCCTTTGGCTCGGGAAGCTCTGATAAGGAGAACCAGAAACAGTTTTGACCTTTCAACTGCAAATCTCCCCGCGAGGAGCCACGAGCTGCTCCCTATCTCAAAGGATCCCTTGTGTTAGGAAACACAGCCGTGCCATAGG